AATTGTGCAGTGATGGTTGTAATCAATTTTATAAAAACTTTCTATAAATGATCAAACGGAGAGGTCATTTAGTTAGCATAGAAAGTGAGTAGTACTAGCAAATCAAATGAATGTGAATATCAGGCAGCTAGTTTGCTATTAACATGGATCGCATAATGTATAAGAAAAATGGGAGTGCTATTTGGAAGGGGTCAGTTGGTCAGGTAGAGATGGCTTGGAAGGTCTCTGGTTAAAACCCTAGAATCTCGTACCATTGATGTATTCTGTGTCTCCGAAGCACCCATACAGGATCCTAGTGCGGTCACTCACCTTGCCAAAACGGAGAACCGACGAGACACACCCTCCGTGTCTCTGGCGACCCGATGGCTCGTTCTCGGACTGGCAAGTGTAGCCATAGCATTCAGTAAGGGGGCAGAACAGACACTATTAGAGTGGATCCCCGTTAACAGTCGTCTATGTGCTGTTCGGCTGAACGGCTCCGTAGGAACTCGGAAGGATAGAGATAAACGTAGTTGCCTTTTTGTCGTTTCTGCCTACGCTCCCACTGACTGTAACCTGGATGAAGTGAAAAATGGTTTTTACAGAAAGCTTTCTAAACTTCCTCACAAAGCTGAACGTCGTAGACCTACTGGTGGAAATGACGTTCCCGTTGTATAAATATTTGGGAATTGATCTCCTACCAAGAGGCCCACTTACTGACTTAGAATACGCAGATGACATAGTTCTGTTTGATGAAGACGCCTATAAAATACATAGTCTTTTGGTAGCATTCAGCAACAATCCCAGGATATTTGGGATGCGTTTCTCTCCCTCTAAATGCAAGTTGTTGCCTCAGGACTGGTCTGCGTCAGCACCTGAACTACGGATAGGGATAGGGGTAGTCGAACGTACGGATAACTTCACTCATCTTGGAAGTCTGATCAGCCTAATGGGTGGGTATCTGAAGAAATCTCAGCACGTATTCAAAAACCTCGTTTGGCTTTTGCCAACTTACGTCACTTATAGAGAAGGCGAAATATCCGTCCATCAATCAAAGGACGAATATACTGCGCAGCAGTTCGTTCTGTTTTAATTTACGACTGAGAAATGTGGCCACTAAGAGTAGAGGACACTCGTAAGTTACTAATATTTGACCACAGATCTCTTAGAAATATTGCTCGCATCTGCTGGGATCACCGGGTAAGTAATAGTGAGATTAGACTCAGGGCATTAGGGAATAATGGTAAATCAGTTGGTGGGGTTGCAAATCTTCATCGACTGAGATGGGTAGGCCACGTGTTGCGTATGCGTGGACACCAGTTACCACGACGTGCAATGCTGACAAGCGTTGGGGATGGTTGGAAGAGAGTTAGGGGTGGCCAGACTAAAACGTGGCATCAGTCCTTGAAGTCACTAACTTCTGGTATGAGCCATGTTGGTAGATACAGACTACTTGGCTGGGGTCCGCGTGACTATAGTAACCGATGATTGGAGACTCTGGGTGAATCGATCACAATGGCGTAGGTGTATACACTCTTCGTTTTCTTTTAAACTGTGAGGTTAAAATTACTTTATATATTTCTTTCTACGAATTAGTTTTTTCTTGCTGTACTTCATCCTTATACAAAATCTTTCTTTCATATATTACTAACAGTGAAGTAACTACTTCTATGGATTCGGTGTTCATCTTGTTGTGCTAATGAGGTGCTGCAACTTGCACCGATGCATATATATGCCTGGTCCCACGTTGTGGCTACCTGAATGGTTATAAAATGCAAAATCGTGAGAAAAAAAGCCTAGGACAAACTGTTTACGATTCAGTATAAAACTTCGAAAACTATTTTCACAGCTATCTGGTTTCCGTAATCCTTTGGATATGCAATGTTTTGATTATATGTTATTCCACTCTATTATTTGCTCAATCAGAATGGCCAATATTCAGAGATATGATGACAATATTTTCTGATCGTACATTCACTGTGATTTATTTAACAAGTTCAGATAAATTGGTGAATACAAGTGGAAGCAGTGGAACTTGAGAGCTTGACTTTATTTCGTGAACTTACTATTATTTGGTTGCTAAACAAGAGTAATAACCTTCCCCTTTTGAATGTTCTTTTTTGAACGTTCCTTAGACATCCAGTTACGAAACAGTCTTTTCCTGTACGTTAGTTGTAATATACTCGTTGTTTCAGGTATAGGTTCTGTTATAAAAATTGAACGATAGCAATTTCTACGAAATATGTCGTGAACGCCTTGGATCTAATCATATTAGAAAGATCTAATAATGATGACCTAATAAAACTGGTTTCTAAAATATAAGTCATTTTTACTTTCCTATTTGATCCCATATTTAACGATAATATTTTCTCATTCATTTTGTACTCTACGTATTTCACTGTGAATATTTAGTTTTCGTTATAACACGTGAACTCGGCTGTAATTTTAGTACTATTCCAGCCCAATTTATGACTTAGGCGGTTTCACAGAACTTACTTACATTACTTACTTACACCTGTTACTCCCGATGGAGCATAGGCCGCCGACCAGCATTCTCCAACCCACTCTGTCCTGGGCCTCCTTTTCTAGTTCAATCCAATTCTTGTTCAGTTGGGTGCTTTCCTCAATGTGTGTCCTATCCACTTCAAGCGATTCTTCCTGATTTCTTTCTCGGCTGGGATCTGGTTTGTACTCTCCCACAGTACGTTGTTGCTAATCGTGTCCGGCCAACGGATCTGAAGTATTTTGTGTAGACAATTGTTAATAAACACCTGTATTTTCTGGATGATTGCTTTCGTAGTTCTCCAGGTTTCCGCCCCATACAGTAGAACTGTTTTGACATTTGTATTGAAAATGCTGACCTTGGTGTTGGTTGATAGTTGCTTTGAAACGTCTGGAACTCAAAGCAACTGTCAATCAACACCAAGGTCAGGATTTTCAATACAAATGTCAAGACAGTTCTACTGAACGCCACGCTCTAATTCAAATCGAGTCAAAGCTGAGATCTTCACGCTGAATGCCATCAGTATTAGTAATCGACAAAATATATTGGCTTGCGTCACCGACTAACTCTAGTTAAAAAACCACTGAACAGCTGTTTTTTTCCCAGTGTGTGTTGATCTCCTACCTCATCAGGAATCGAACTTACGACATTCATGTCCCTCAGCGGAATCTTAAACCTCGAGCCGTTAAATCGACATCCAATGATTTACATATCTAACTTCAGTCAATTAGTCGTGGGGCCATTCTGGAAAATCAATGATGTCACATCATGTCTTTTTGCAAAAACTTAATACATGGGGTTACATTTCGTGGAATGGGCTCAAACAAAATTGTCGTGTGGTTTCGTGCAGCATGTTGATTGGTGACGATCACCGCTTTGATCATTCTTAAGGTTTTGTAAGCCATTCAGGTTAGAGTATTTTGTAACTATTCAAAAATCACTTAAAATTTCGTGACAATGAGTAATTCTAAAACAAAATAAATCATTTAGCCAAAACAGGTCATTCAGCAAAAGCAATTTCTGAGATGCGTAAATGATTTATTGTCCAAAATAAAGTCTAAATTAGTATCATAAGGAGTTTTGTGGATATTTATCAACATATACTCACTAGTGACTGGCTTCAAGAGGCATTTCATGGAGTTCTAGTAAGAATCAGCGACCTGTGGGGTTCAACCGGGTCTGTTATGTGATGGTAACTGACTGAAGACAATGGTGGCTGAATTTCGTGAATTGGTTGAAGTTAGACAATTACACGATCGGACGCCGGCTCAGTGGTGTAGAGATCAAGCGTTCGCGCGCGAGACTGATAGGTGCTGGGTTGGAATCTCGCGTGGCGGGATCGTGGATGCGCACTGCTGAGGAGTCCCATACTAGGTCGAAACGGCCGTTCACTGTTTCCAGGTTTTCTATGCTGATTCAGCTTTAATTGACTCATGATCTCAAATATAAATTAGTAATTAGAAATTTCATACCTAAAATAATTTAAATGATTAATTACTTGGTAGAAATCATTGTATTGTTTATCTAGTCCTTTGGTACCAATCGAATCCTATGGTCTTGCTGATGACGGTAAATTAGCAGGGAACTTAAATCTAAGGTTTCTGTAGCCACTTAATAATGAAATGAATAAATATTTAATGAATATAAGAATTTCGATTTTAATATCTCTTTATTCTAAAGGTACATTTTATTTAAGATATTTGTTTAGATTAGAAAAATAGATTAAGTCGATGAAATAATATGCACCATTGGAAATTGAATCAATGAATCAATAATATTATGTTTGTTATCGACCTTAAACGACACCGTGAATTCTTCCTTATAGTTATTAAGTGTCAACTGGTCCGAACCAATTATAAAGTAGTTGTTCAGTCCTTCCAGATTTTCAGTAATTTTCTATAGACGTTATTACAACCTTAAAAAAGAATTATCTTTATCTATTCGTCTGGAACATTCTGTTTAACTTTTTTATGTTATTTTACTTTAACAGAAAAATACAATTCATTTGTCGCTTTCCAAACGTGTACTAATGATTTGTTGATTATCTTTGACATTACTTAGTCGAAATCAACTTCGCGTTCAGTAAATCATGTTTCGAGCAAAAAACAATACTGTTGAATGGTTGTTAATGTAGTACAAGCTTCCTGAACCAAGTACACATTAAAAATAATGAATGCAAAGGGTTTTAATGCATGTGTTTCCTCCATCGACACTGTGGTAATGTTAAAAAATTGTTTGGATAAAAGCTTCTTTCATGTTTCCTATAGTAAACGAACACGGAAAGTCATCAGAGTCCAACAAATATTTCATTGAATATCTCACTGAAGCGAAAACATCGTTGGGATTTATTAATGATTGTATACGGAATGACAGATATCCTAAAATATATTGGAAATGTTTACGCTGGAACAAAGTTTATCCAAATCCCTGAACCCTTAAACGGTATGCACTTAACCAAACGGATTCATTAAAATTACATATAAACAATCTAGAAAGAAATCTTTCACAAAGAGAATATATGCTCGATAACCTACCACCGGAAATAAAATCACAATTTATGGATTATAATAACATGGTAGTAAAAAGTAGATCAGAAAGACTGGGAACAAAATTAATTCAGTCTCTGGAACCTCATAAACCTGAACGAAAATTTCCTATGGACCCTGAGCGGTACGTTCATAATTTCTCTAGTGTTACGTTAAACGCATTGCAAGTAGAGGCATTGTCACTCGGCCCTAGGTTTTGCGACTATAGTAATAAAATAAACCAACTAGATACAGATGTACAGTTTGAAAATTTATTTACACAAACAACAGATATGGTTCCTACTTCTTCTGATGAACTAACCAGGTTTAAGACCACGTTGGTAGACATCTGCCAACAATACAAAAATAGTAAATGTACAGTGAAGACTCCACTTACCAAACAGCACCGAGATGCTTTACATGTACTTAGAAACGACAATACTCTGATCATAAGCAAGCCGGACAAAGGAGGGGGGCTAGTTCTTATGAACAAAGCTGATTACATTAATAAAATGAACGTGATTTTGAATGATCCGACAAAATTTCAGAAACTCAACGAAGTTAAGGACTTAAGCATGAAGGCGGAAAAATTGCTGACTATATCACTGAAGGAATTAAAAAATAAAGGTATCCTTACCCCTGACTTAAATGACTCACTCAAGCCTACTGGATCGAACACACCGCGACTATATGGTTTACCTAAAGTTCACAAGACAGATCTTCCTCTTCGCCCAGTTTTAGATATGTATAATTCGCCTTATCATAGAACTGCAAAGTGGCTAGTTAGTATCCTGAATTAGTCGTCAATAGAAGCGTGAAAGATGTCTTCGATTTCATATCCTGGGGTTAGTCTTAAAGAATTACTTTTAAAATGCACAATGAATGTCCATTTTGTCTTCAATAACACATATTATAAACAAATTGATGGTATAGCGATGGGTTCGCCACTAGGTCCCATCCTTGCGGATTTTTTTCTGGCGAAACTAGAAAACGGACCTCTCAAGGAGGTTATCAATAAACTGGATTTCTACTGTCGTTACGTTGATGACACCTTCATCATTGCCGAGCAGAACATTAGAAAAGAACAACTACTGGAACTATTTAATAACAAACATCCTGCTATTAAATTTACATGTGAGGAGGAAATAGATAACAAACTAAATTTTCTGGACGTTTTGTTAAGTAGAAAAGAAAATGGTTCTATCAGCAGGGGTGTGTTTAGAAAAAGTTCTTCTCCAAGCCAATACACACATTTTTTAAGCTTTGTGCCTCTTCATTATAAGAGAAACTTAGTCAAATGTCTTGCAAATAGAGCTCTTAAGATATGCTCAGTCGACACTATTGATAGAGAATTACAACACATTCATAATATTTTGATTGAATTGGGATATCCATTGGGTTTCCTGAAGAAACATTTGCGCGTACAAAACAGGAAAATAGTGACCCTGACGGCTAATAAGAAACCGCTTTTCTTGAAACTGCAATTCAATGGTGATTTGGCTAGCGATGTATTACAGGATAGATTGACTAGATCAGTAAAGAGAACGTTTAATGCTGCCAACCTCTGCCTATCGTATTCGACCCGATCGATGGTGATTCCGCAATTGAAGGATAAGTTACCTGGTTATGCCACTTCTATGTGTATCTACGAATTCAGCTGCTCCTGTGGAGAAAGCTATATTGGGCGCACTACCAGGCAACTGAACCAACGAGTTAGTGAACACCTCCCATCGTGGTTCGGAAAAGGTTACGTTAAAACAATACGCAGCTCGGTTCTATCATACTTGATCGATAGCGGTCATATAGTAGACAGAAACAAGTCGTTCAAAGTTATTTATCGGAGTCCCACTAGTTTTCCTTATGGTGTTCGATCTTGTCTCTTACACATAGCAGAAGCTATAGGAATCCGAACCAACAAGCCCAGTCTTTGTGTTCAGAAGAAATTTATAACTCCCTTATCTCTCCCTTGGTCTTAATTAATAAATGAATTTGTTTATTTATTCCTTTTCTAACTTTCTCTTCGTTTATTATTTTTCTTCACACCCTCCTACCACTTTATTTTCTCTCAACTATCCGTTTCACGGTCCGATTATCTGAACATTTCTTATTACGTCATCTTATAATTTTATAATTGTTATCGCAGTTTCTATATTTTTCTAATCATTGACCTATTTCAGATTATGTAACATTGATTTGAACCTTTATTATTATTGCTTATCAAAACTAATGCACCTGTTGTCACACCAACAACTTGTACTTTTCACATTTTACTTATTATGTAATCTTTTCCATTGTTATCATTGACTTATAAACTACCTTGATTGGTTTAATAATTTCGTATATGCATATAAATATTACTGTATATTAGAGTAAAGCCTGATGAGGATCTAATCGAAAACAATATTGTTCGCTGATATATGTTGTTCTAAATCAACAAATATTTGCTGAAAACAGTTTGCAACACCAAGTGACTTTAACCAAATGAGGATTAAAAACCATAGAGTAGTGGGTAACTGATTCATTTTAATATGGTTCTTGTTAGTAGTGCGAATCTGCTACCTAATCAGGAATCTAACCAAAGGCTTCACGAGTCGTGGCCAGAGCATAGACTGCTGAAGAACTACGATGTAGCAGGAAGCTGCTGGATAATATTTTGTTGTTTCCAATGTTTATCTAACTAATTAGTTCATGGTAGAATTATTGAGATGAAAAATCTTCATATGTCTCTAATCCTAATTAATTATTGATTATTAATTACACATCAAGCTATAGTGATATTTAAAATATTAACTGTTGAGTCTGACATTGGGCAGTTTTAAATTACACATTTTTGCAATTTCAGTCAATGTGATGTCAAGTATTGCCGCTAATGGTTTCCGAAATATCATTTAAATTCTTGGTAAAATATGAATGGATAAAAAATTAAAACCAAAATTGATTTTACTTTGTCAGTTTCTCCTCATCTGCTTACAAAGTACACGATTTCAAAATCCAAATTTGTAAATGAACTGAAAATTCTTACAAAAATGAGTTTGGCTGATAGTGTACCAGTAATTCAGACGAAATCACAAGGTTGTGCAAAATATTATATATATATATATATATATATATATATATATATATATATATATATATATATATATATATACATCAAGTAAGTATTGACATTTATTGGAAGATGTAAAAACCTTTACATATTTGTGCAGCATCATTGATGAACAGGGTGGATCTGATGCAGATGTGAAGGCGCGAATCGGCAAAGCAAGAGCAGCATATTTACAATTGAGGAACATCTGGAACTCAAAACAACTGTCAACCAACACCAAGGTCAGCATTTTCAATACAAATGTCAAGACAGTTCTACTGTATGGGACGGAAACTTGGAGAACTACGAAAGCAATCATCCAGAAAATTCAGGTGTTTATTAACAATTGTCTACACAAAATACTTCAGATCCGTTGGCCGGACACTATTAGCAACAACGTACTGTGGGAGAGTACAAACCAGATCCCAGCCGAGGAAGAAATCAGGAAGAATCGCTGGAAGTGGATAGGACACACATTGAGTAAAGCACCCAACTGCGTCACAAGGCAAGCCTTCACATGAAATCCTCAAGGCCAAAGGAAAAGAGGAAGACCAAAGAACACATTACGCCGGGAAATGGAAATAGACATGAAAAAGATTAACAAGAATTGGATAGAACTAGAAAAGGAGGCCCAGGACAGAGTGGGTTGGAGAATTCTGGTCGGTGGCCTATGCTCCATTGGGAGTGACAGGCGTATTAAGTAAGTAAGTATTGACATTTATTCCCAATTTGGTTCGCCAATCAAAACTCCTTTCGTAATCTTGGTCTTTTCACCCTTGAAGCTGATTGGGCTTACGTATAGAAAGCTTACATATCAGAATCACAGTGAGGCACCGAATAACACAATAACTGTGAATAAGCTAATAACTTTTGGAGAAAACACTGTTAACTATTTTTGCTTTACGGATAGTTGGAAGTGACTCATCAGTCAAAGTGATAATCAGTATGATTGTAAATACCACATAGTCATGAGAAAGAAATAAATGATTAGAAATATATGTAATCAATATTCAAACAGAGAGTATAAATACGTAGTAGCTATGTATCCACAAAAACGTAGAGGACAATTTAATGAAGATTAAAGCAATAGACATTGCGTTGGAGTCTCAATATGGAAATTAGCAATCATGAATCCTAAGTGGCATGAAACACGAGTTGCAGTTCTCATTTCTATTCTAATATCAAAATATACTAAAATAAAGATACTATCATAAGAATTCAGTCAGGCTGAGCATATGATATTGGGGACCAAATAATTTTAATCCTCAAAAGAAACAAAGTTGGAATTTAAACACTTACATTGAAATTGTTTAGCTTATTCAAATTCATTGTAATAACTGTCCGGATATCGAAAATCAGGTAGATCTGTAATATATGAAAATTAAGTTCATTATGCACAATGGATAAATCATAAACATGGAAATACAAAAGATTTAATGTAACCAACCACAAATGTTATCTTATGCTTCTATTCGAATTTCAATTTCTCGAATCAATACAATTAGATAGTGTTTACCAAACAATGTATGATTTGTGTTAATGACTATAATGACAGTTATATTCATAATATTTCCAAATTTATACACCATAAGAGACATATCTTTCCTTTTAAAGTTAACATACATGGACGGAAAATAACAACAAATATTTGTTGATTTATCTCTTTTTACAACTACATCTACTTTGTATTATAATCAATAACCATGAAGAGATTTCCCATAAACTTTTCAAGCATTATCATGAAAGCTTGTCAGCAAAACTATATTTTTCTCAACTACTGTCAATTTGATATTCCCAAACAATTTCGAGAAATGTCCAACCCTATTGAACTAATAATTTAAGGGAATAAAAAACTCACTTACTTAAGGCACCTTAAGATGCAAACTCTTCTAGAATTTCAACTGTTGAACTCATGAATCGAACTAAGCCAGACCATCAATGAAAATCTAAAAGCACTGCACTGCCGTCGCGTTCTAGAATGCTGATTGTTATATACAAGCGAAGATTAAATTATGAGTATCTATTGAGATCTATTAATATTTACGCCTATTACACTTCATGGAAAAGCATAGACCGCCAACCAGCATTCTCCATCCAACTCTGTTCTGGGACATCCTTTCCAGCTGTTCCCAGTGGTTATTCATCCTTTTCATGTCTGCTTCCAATCCTCGACTCAGTGTGTTCGTTGGCCTTCCACCTTTCCGCATCTCTTCACGATTCCAAGTTGGCGCGAAGTTAAAATCGTCTAATTGGATCTGAGTTGTCCGTTGTATTTCGTGTTTTCCTTCAGATGTCAAGGTCTTCATAATCCAGTCGACCACCAGAAGTTGGTCGTCTACTGCATTTTTCATCCGGTTCAGAAATACTCTGTTGAAAACCTTTCCTGGAACTGACGATAGTGTGATGCCTCTGTAGTTCTCACATTT